TGTATTACCCTATACTACCCATTTCTTTTTTTACAAATATTTGGGTATCTAATTGTTTTTTTAGTTTTTCCATTTTTACTGAATATCTGCCAATATAAATGCAACTGCTACCTCTAGTTTTCACCATGTATATATAACTGATTGAATGACCTTGTTCTTTGATATATTACTGTTAGTTATTATTATTTAATAAATGTTTTGGCTCCCCCCCAAAAAAAATGAAAATAAGAAAAATATGGTACTCATAATGGTAGAAATAATCGTATTAGAGGTAGATCCATCTAGTCCAGCACTGTTTTTCTAAAAGTAGTTAATGATGTACTTACTGCTCTATCTTTAATACCTAGAACAGGTAGTCTTCATTTAACAATTGTACAAAGCTGGGATAGCCACATAAAGTATCTCAGGGTATCACACGATCATGTGCCGGGGCAGATCAGTTTTATGACCCGTTACAGTGTTACATGGTCACATGACTGGTTTTTTTGGATCATTCCAAATGAATGGGTTTGCTTTAAGACTGTAGTATTTGCTTACAGAGCTGTGGTAGCAAAGTGTTTAGAATGCAGCATTGCAGGGCTAACTCACTGCTCACTCTAGGTGTTTGATTCTGAGCCGATCAAGGTTGACTCAGCTTTCCATCCTTCCGAGGTGGGTAAAATGAGGACCCAGATTGTTGAGAGCAAGAGGCTGACTCTGTAAACTGCTTAGAGAGGGGTGTGAAACACCGTGAAGCAGTATATAAGTATAAGTGCTATTGCTATTAACCACCACCATAAAAAAGGCTTGAAAATTGCTTCTGGCCACATAGTTGTCTCAACTTATGACCTCAACGATTTACAATAATAATGCCAGGCTCAATTGCAATTGTAAATTGAGGACTATTCCTCAGTTATGCATCAAAGCAGCTAAGCATTTATTATTATTAAAATGTAGATCTTAGATCGTATGCAGGTTTTCCAAGAATGTATATACAGGTAGTCCTCGGGTTACAATGGCAATTTGGACTGTAATTGCTGTTGTTGAACAATGCAATTGTAAAGTGTGAATCACAGGGCCACGTTGCTTAATGACAGCAATCCTGGCAATCCTGGTTGCCATTGTAACTCTAGGATGTGTGAGGTTTTAAGTGAGAAGAGGCAGGCATGTAAGATAAGGAATGTGGTGGTGGTGGGTTCCACCACAAAACCGCGCCCGACTAAACCGCGTCGCTGACGTCATCAACAGGGCGACAACAGCGCGGAGACAGAAGCACGCTGTAA